GAGCATGAAACTGAGCAAACTCAGGGAGGCAGTGAAGGACAGGAAGGCCTGGCGCAATATGGTTCATGGGGTCACGAAGAGTCGGACACGACTTAACGACTAAACAACAACATAAAATGGAAAGAGTCCTTAGCTTACAACATGGACTGGCTGAGAACTAATTCTCAGAACTGGATCAGGTTTTTTATCAGACGAGAACTGAAAGTTGGAGGTGGATTCCCAGATCCTCTTCAATTAAGGAGCCTCCACTACAGTGTTCCTCTCCCTTAGTGTTGCATCCCTTCTTCTTGATTGGTATCTCTTGATGACTAATTCTTGTGCTTCTATTAAACAAGGCTAGGGAGGTAGGTGGGAGAAGAAGCCACAGATAGGATAGATTTAGAGCTGGCCACCAACATCGATGTTTTCCCCTCCCTGACTCAGGTGAGATGCCATTCTAGTACATGAATCAGGAAAACCATAGATAAGTATGTCATGGTTTGTTATGATAAACCCCTTTTAAAACTCCTATAGTGGGGATGAAAATATAATCAAGTGAAGCTTTTGTAGCACAGAGAAAGGTTCTGAGTTCAATAATTGTAGGGGAAAAGAGTCTCTCCTCATTCCCCAATTCCTAAAAGTAAGTGCCTCAGGGACAGATTACCTTCTTTAGGGATGTACACCTGTAACAAATCTGTCCTTTTAGCACCAAGTTAAGGTTCCCCACCACCAGGTGTTCAAACATGTTTTGTGCTGGTTTAATCTTTAGTAACTCTCCATAAATCTTCTTTGCTTATATAATCTCACTGTATCTACTCCTAAATTGTGTGCCAACCTGACAGTGCTGATAAAAGAAAGGTACTTTCTAAATTGATCAAAATAAACTTAGGAAGCTTAGTACATGGGTGACCATGTGAGGGGCAAGAGACATCATGTGTGTCATCTCATTTTGATATCATCTTGGTTTCTGCCAGATACTATGGTCGCTACTGACCTATGGCTCAGTAGCTCTTTTTTCATGCAGTTTTTCTCACTTCTTATCCCCTATCTGCCCTGCCAAATTTGAAACTCTATAATCTAGCAAAACTGTCAAGCAAGATTTTGTGAAGAACCCATGGAGCAATCTTTTAAGCTTTCTCTACCTGCTTTAATTGTGGTGTAAATTGACTCTCCCTCTAATTTCAGAAGTGAACAGTAGGTCAAGTTCCACTTTTGTTTATTCTATGGCTTTTTTCTCCATGCCTGAAAGTATACTATTCAAACTCTTCCAATGGGTCAAACGTTTAAATAATTATGAAGCCCTGAGAACAAGCTTGACCTATGAAATTAAGAAGAAAATCAATGACAGCTTTTTCTATTTATTACAAGTGTTGTTTTAGTATTCTCATTAGAACACATATAATACATTTTCTTTAAGAATGGATTTTTCACTAAAAGATAATTAGATTGTCTTTCTTAAAACGCGGAGGATTTCTGCCTCATCTTTTAAAATAATGAAAAAACATGAGTGTAGTATTGAGAAATTTGATTGCTTAGCTTCATTGGATACGGCAGCATTGTTTTAAATGAATTTTATAGACAGGAATGCATTTCAGAATTGATGTTTGAAAAGGCTTCAATAATTTTCCATTTTTATTTGCCTCTGATTTTCTTTTGTGATGGCTCTGGCTCCTGTTATGGGTAAATTATTGTTCCCATTCACATGGATAAGGCATGCTTAGTAAAGTCATAAATTAAGGTGTAAAAACATATCCACAGGATATATCCTGCACGTTGGATGGTAGCTAAGTAAACTAACAGACAAATAGGTTTTG